TTAGGGAGGAAGATGGTGAGTTGCTGATAAAATTGATCATGGAGCTGTTGCCATCTATAGTAATTGTCACCGAGCACTTTCTATGCCAGGCCCTATTCTAAGTACTTCTCATGCCTTACTACCTTATCGTTCACTTCTCATAACACCCTAAGTATCAGTTGCTATCATAATAATTCCAATTTTACAGATAAGAAAACCGAGGCAGAGGAAGGTTAAGAAATTTGTCTATGTTTGTACTGCTAATAGGTATTAATTGAGATTTGAGCATAAGAGATTTGACTGTAGAGCCTGTACGTTTTAACCATTGTACTATCCCACCTCTATTGCAAGTCCTACATCTGTTTTTTTATTTTCTGAATAATGAGTATACAGATTAGATTTTCTTTCAAGACCTGCTTCACTTTGCTTATATTAAAAACATTAAAAAACAATTATTATGCAGCATTGAAAATTGATTTCAAAAAAGCTTTTTTTAGCACAGAGCCCTCTATAAATGTCTTTCTATCTTATATATGTAAGATGGAACCCTAGGTAGAAACTTAGGGAATGAAGTACTTATTATAGTACTAAATGCACAAAATAAATACTAAACTACTTGATAAGAGTGGGTGGAAATTACCATACTTAATTGTCTAATTCTATAAAGATTATTTTTTCCTTTTAAAAAATTTAGGTTTAGCTCTTCTTCTCTTAGAGGTATACTGGGGGGTGGGTTGGAAATGGATCAAGACTTGATCAAGAGAGTCTCTGCCCTCAAAGGTGTGGCCAATGATGGCATTTGAAGATGAGTCAGGAGCCAAAGATTAAGAGAGAGGCTCACTCTACTAAGGCAGAGGAGGAAAGCCTAGTAGACCACCAGACTGGACATCAGAAACTAATATGGAAAGTGAGGGTCCAGTGTCATGGTGGTTACCAGGAAGTGGCAGCCAAGGTTAGGAGGAATTAGCGGGACCGGTCAGTGCTGCTGCCTCTGCTTTCTGGTGAAGGCTGCCACTGAGAGTCGTTTTGGAGAGCTGCCTATTTAAAGGGCAGCCATAGGTCACGTTGAATGTCTCTGGCTCCATTTGGAAAATACATGAGTGGAAAGAGAACATGGAGTAGAATGGCAATGCCCTCTCCTTTAGTCAGCTGTCGCCATTTTTCCTTCAAAAACTCACTCTTTTCACTTTGATCTTTCTTCTCTCATCATAGTCACTCTCATTAAAGTCAACTAAACTTTCCTTCCCTATACCTCACATGGTAGAAATAAAATTTCTGGCTTTTTCTCAGAGGCAGTTTAATAGCACCCTGCAGATCCAAGCAGGAGACACGGGCTTTTCCAATGTCAGCCAAAAATATATTAATTCAAATGGGATTCAAAAGAGGGTTGTCCTCTGTATTAGTTAAAAGCAAAGGTTTTGCTCAGAAAAACTGGGCTCCAGCTACCTCTGCCACTTACTCATGATGTGTCTACTGCCCTCTCTGTGAGGCTTTGAGCAAGGTTATCTGATCCGCTCATTTCAACTTTGTAAAATTGGTTGCAGAATTGAATTGGAGAATACAAATGAGGATTGTATATAATAGGCACTTAATAAATGGTGGCTATTATTTTTATTGATATTGTTATCATTAAAATGGTCAATAACTGCAAGGTTCAAACAGTAGGGCAGAAAGAACTTACTTAAAGCACTTCAGGTCCCCTGGGACATAGTGACCACTCACTAAATGAGCATTACTATTAGCATGATCATGTTCTCTTTGCAGAACAGCCTAAGAAGAAGCTTAGAATCTATTCAATAAGGCCACTTTCATCCTCAAGGCATTAAAATTATCTCTCACCCTTATGTTTAACTATATTTCAAGCAAAGAAAATACTGTCTTCACCTTGACATTAGGTTGTTTTCTAACTTAAAGTATTTGGCCCCTTGTTGGAGTAAAGAGAGAGAAGACATAATGTATTGTGATTGATTTAGGAATCAGTCAGAACCATTAATACCATTTTATCCTCCTATTTTGGGGTTCAAGGACTGGGGACTGGATTCCTTTAGCCTCTCCTAAGGCACACCTGGCTGATGTAAATTTTAGAGTGGTTTGAGAGCAGAAAATATGAAGCTCATGTATCTCAGTAAATTTAGAAAAATAGATTGATTAGCTTTAGGATTAGAATGGGTCAGTGGAATAAAATGCAAATGAAGAATACCTTTGGAAATATAAAAATTATTACATCATAAAAATAAAACTAAGAGATTTATTAATCTGAGCTTAAGATATTCCATAGAGATAATTCAACCAAATTTCTCATTCACTAGTTTATATATTCATTCAACAGACATTTATTTAGTGCTTTCTTCTAAGTGCTTAAAATTTACATCATTTTAATCTCCAACATTGGGTCTTAGAATTGGACTGAAAAAAAAAAAAACGCTAATGAAATAAGATGGAATTTTATAGTGTGGAATAATACTCCATTTATGATTTTTTTTGTAATTTAGCAAGTTCATTTCTTCTTGTTTTGTGTTCCAATCCCACCTTCCAGCCCCATTCAACCTTTGCTTTTCTCTGTCCCAGGTGATGGTAGGAAATTGTAGGGCAGGAATAGAAGCCAGGGTATTTCTGTTCCCATCCTATATGAAAGACGTTCATGCCCCTTCTTACACTCACCTAGCTCAGGTGCACTTTCTTTCCTTCCTGCTTTAGGCTTAGAGGTGGTCATCCCTTTCCCCTGTTGGTAGTCCATGAGTGCCTCTCTACAGCCTTCGCTGGTTTCCTTACTTCTCCCCACTCCTTTGTAGAGAGTTCTTTATTACATTCTCTTCAAAATCCTATGGTTTTGAGCCTTCTTTCTCCTGTCAGGACATCAACTGATAGATACATGTAGCTATGTAGTCAAATAACCCCACCTGTAGAGTTAAGAATTTGTTAACAATGTAACAAAAATGACGATTAAAAACTACCTAAAACAGTTTTAATATTTCAAAAGAGATACTTTTACTACTGAGAATCTTGAGGTGAAACTACTTAACTATTGTTCTAATTCATATTAATATACACATTTCTAGGGATGTATAGATAAGGCATTGATCATCAGTGACTTAGGCAGTGAATTTGCTTGCTAGCTTTTATTGCCTTGAGATTTTTTAAGCTTGCATGTTGTTTTGTGTATGTGAGCCCCACATGCCCAGACATATCTGGGAAGGAACAGTGAGGCTTTTTCCATAAGAGATTGCTTTACTCCTCCTACCCCTTGCCTCATGATTTCTCTTGATTATACAGAATAGTGACAAGAAACCAGAAAAAAAAAAAAAAAAAAAACCATTATGTTTTACAGTGTTAAAGAAAACTAAATATGGTCTGTGAAGGACTGCCTACTTCTATAGTTGAGTCTTTGTGGATGAACTGTAACCTAGCTTAATGGCAAAACTGAAAACCTAACCTAGTGGTATGCAGCTGTAACAATAGCTGAGTGTTGGCCAATCCCAGCTGCCATTCTTCAGCCACTCATAGACTGCTGAATGTTCAAACTGCCTTCAAATAAGGCAAATGCCAAGTTGTAACCAATCTTATTGTTTCTGTATTTCACTTCCGATTCCTATGTCACTTTACCTTTTTCTGTCTATAAATTTCTTCTGACCCATGAAGAATCCCTGGAGTCGCTATGAATCTGCTGTGATTCTGGGGGCCGCCCAATTTGTGAACTGTTCATTGCTCAGTGAAATTCCTTTAAATTTAATACAGTTAAAGTTTTTTCTTTTATCAGTAGTTTAATGGGAAAATCAAAAGGAAGAGACACGAGACAGGCAATCTGCTGTCCTTTTCCCATATGGGTGACAATACAATTGAAGAATAAGTACTAATTAGCTAAATGAGAAGCTCAAGCTGTGATTGTTGAGGAGTTTAATTTTAGGGCAAACTGAGATGCTTTCCCAATCCTATAGAGGTAGAAACAGAGAGATACTCAGAATGCCTTACCTGCGAAATCTGACCAATAAAACCCTTATATGTCCCAGAGGGAACATCAACGAAATTATTTAGAGGAAACGCTAAGAAAAATACGAACTGAGAATTAAGTAATTTGATTGTTTCATACATATCTTGCTCTGAAAACCAAAGTAAAAATATTGTTCTGAAATATTCTTTGATTATATTAAGAGCAAGTTATAGAAGTATATGTTAGATTTAGATTTGTTAAATAACACATAACCTCTATAGAATCTACTATACATCTATATTGCTATGGGTTGAAGAGTGGAATAATTTATTTCTGCCTGGATAAGAAATAAATGGCTATATTGAAAGTAAGATGAAGAGTATCACAGTATTTTCCTATTCTGCTAGATTAGTAAACACATATAAAAGAAAAATGACTATGTTTGCTTTTAGGATTGTGGCTAAAGACTGAATGTTTGTGTCTTCCCAAAATTCATATGTTGAAACCTAATCCCTAATGTTAGGGCATTTGGAAGTGGAGCCTTTAGGAGTTGATTAGTCATGAGGGCTCTGCCTTTGTAAAAGAGGGCTCTGCATTTGTAAAAGAGACTCTCAGAGGGCTCCCTTGATGTTGCCTTCTGTGAACCAAGAAGTGACCCTTACCAGCCAAGGAATCTGTTGGTGCCTTCCTCTTGGACTTCTCAGCCTCCAGAACTGAGAAATAAATTGTGGTTGCTTATAAGCTACCTAATCTACGGTATTTTCATTATGGCAGTCTAAATAAAGAAGACAATCATGATTTGCTAATCTAATAATATGTAGTCCATTTCTTTTCTGGAATCTGACATATAAAACCTACACTTGGTTCCCATACATTTTTTCTTAAAAGGAAATCAGGAATATTAACTTTACCTCCAGTCTTCTGATTTCACATTCATTACTTGGTGTCATTAAAAAACTAACAGAGTATAAATGATATAGTGTTTCTTGGTAACCTGGGTTATAATTTGACTATGCCAGGAGACAAACATTTCAACATTATATGCTATTCTAAGCAACTCACTTATCTTGAGATTCAGTTCTCTTTCCACCAGCATGGCATCCAGCTTTTTGTGATCTGAGCCCCTTTCTTCTGGGCATTGAAGCATAAACAAGACAAAAAAAAAAAAGGTGATTAGTTGAACGTTCCTTTTTTCCTGTTGATTTTTTTTTTCTTTATGACTAGTTCCTTGGTGTTCAATTACCTCTTATGAATACAAAAGACCTAACTTTTAGAAATAAGATTTTAGCTTCTTTTCTTAATCTGCCTTCCTACAAAGTAATTTGGATAGAGACAAGATTGTCTGTATCATTTTGGGGCATTTGTATTGAAAGCTTCTAAGTATCACCTTTTGAGGCAGTTAATTCTTATAACAAAAATGTGTTCTACCTTGATAGAAAGCTTTCTGACAAGGCTGGCCTGGGATATTTTAATACATAGAAGCCCTGATGCTAATATGTGCACAGATTTTCTGAACCAAACATAGTCTTAGTTGACATCATGGTATTAGGAGATCAATATGATAGAACTGGCGGTGATTCTGAAAAGGATTTTTACATTGAAAATCTCATTTGGAAAAATTGCCTCCTACTGGTTACAGTAATAGGAGTACTATAAATACATTAATAAATTCTTGAAACTTCTTGGTTCCACTTATGTATAATTATAATCTTCAAGTGCTAACTAGGCTTCTGGTAAAGCCCAGGGGGATGTTTTACTTACATTTCGCATCAAGGGAAAAGTACACGTGATTATTTAATTGTCAACGCTTCTTTTTTCCTTTCTTAAAGAAGGTATTTTGGATTCAGGTAAGAGTCATCATTTCTACCTTAAATTTACTCTGACTTCAATATTTTCCCTGATCTGATAATACACATAACTGGGACAGTGAAAGTAAAATGAGGCTCTTTACAATTGTATGAGTTCCCTCAGGAAGTTAAAACACATGCCTAACATTCTGCTGGGAACTCTTTAAAGAGAGCTTTTTCCTCTTTAAATACGCATTGATATATACAACAACAGGATAGCACAATAGGTAGACAACAAAAGGCTCAAATAAATACCAGAAAGAAAATAAAACAGAAGTAAAATTTTGAAACTAGACATAAGAAACAATTTCAGATAAAATTAGAATCAATATATTATTATTTAATAAATGACTTTATTAGAAACCAAAGGAAACTTTCACTCTGATATAAAGATCAATATAAAATGAAGATTAGACAAAATAAAATTGTTGCTTATGTATGACTTCTGTGAAAAAAAATTGTAAAAGCACAAATCTCTTTTGATGACCACACAGGACATATACCACAATTTCTTCATTTTATAAACGATAACATTGCATATAATAGGCATCAAGTAACTATATTTATTTCCAAGATAATACCAGTAACATACAAGTTTTTTTTTAATGGTTATATCTTTGTTTTATTTTGTATCAGAAGAATTATTTTTTTAAAAGAGATCCACAAGTACAGTTACTGCATTAGGAGTACTTTGAAATTTATCAATAACGGTACGCTCAAATTCTTACTATATGTCTTAATACATTGAGCATAGTTCTATCCATACAGGTCTGAACTCTCCTTAAAAAAAAAAAAAAAAGAAAAAGAAACTTTTTTATATAATCTAATTATAAACCTAATAATCTGTAAAATTTTATACCAAGTTTCAATTCAAGCTATGTTTGATTCTAGGGAAAAAATAGTTTCATATGTTGCCCATTTTTAAAAACTAGAACAACAGGCATGAGAGGGTTAAATCAATTTCTAAGAGTTTTAACTTATTTTAGGACTTGCTTCTCATTGTAATATTCCATGGAGATTAGTTCCTTAGACTGGAAGCTTGTATAGACAGAAGCTGTGTGTGTTTGGCTCAATGGTATATATACAATACGAAGCAGCTCAGTAGCTATTTGTAGACTATTCATGTGAAACTCACAGCTACCATGGAATGACCTCTGTTTCATTCTTGCCAATTAACCAGTATAGGATAACTGGTTTTTTTTTTTTTTTCCTGCAGTGTTCAATAACCTTTTATAGCTCTTTGATTTCACAGAATAATAGAATTTTATGACTTGGAGAAAACTTTAGGATTATATGCTCAGTTCCCGTGTAACTAAATGTCTCGTTCCCAGGCAAAATAATTTTATTGTGGATCCCAGGTTATTCTTACTTTTCAAAAGTTTGTATTATTACCAGAGTGAGAGTAATTGAAAATAAGTTTTTGATTGATGTCATATCAATTCTAAACAGTTTGGAAAGGAGCTGTGTCCTAGTTTCACTTTTTATTTCCTACATATTTTGGAATATAGGTTTTAAAGTTACATGTCATCCAGTTAGGAGGTGTAAAATCCAGGAAATTGCCATATGAATGTCAATAACACGAACTAGACACTTTTAACTAGTTATTGTTCCAAACAATATTAATATTAATTTAGTGATTACCAAGCATGTGCTTTTAATTGGTTAGTGTTTCCTCAAACACGGTCAACCCTTCATACACACTATTTCTACAATCTGCCTAGCATCTAAAATATTTGTTACAACGTTCATTAGATAGTCTCATTTTAAATTTCAAATATAAAGTTACCATAACTATATATTTGGAACAAATAGGCTATAAATAGAAATAATCATAATATTAAATATGAAAGCAAAACACTGTCAGTTGTACTTTAGCTACATTCTGCCCTGTATATTCTGGATAAGGATCCAGAAGTGAGTACTAATTATTGAGATGATATAAGATATGTTCCTTTACTGTTCTTTTCTTCAGTTATCTCAGCAATAAACTGTAGAAAACAAATTTATAATTCAGATAATTTTAGTAAAAATTAAATGAGCTCAAGATGTCAATTTTTCTCAAATTGATCTACAGATTCTATTTTTTTTTTTTTTTTTAGCCAAAATCCCCACAGGTTTTTTCTTTTGATAAAGCTGACAATCGAATTTTAAAGTTTATATGAGAATGCAAGGCAGTTTTGAAGAAGCTGAACAGATTTGGGAGCTTTTCACTGAATAATATAAAGTTATATATCCATAAGACATTGGTATATTGGAGCAATAGTAGACAAACTGATCAATGCAACAAAATGCTGTTCCAGAAACAAACTCACATATATTCAGTTACCTGAAATATAATGAAAATGGCAGTACAGTGTAGTGATAAAGAAATGATCTCATTCAGTAGTACTTCCTAAACTGAATATCTATTTGGAAAATAACATGTATCTTGACCCCTACTGTACATTTTACATAAAAATTCAATTCCAGGTGAATTAATGATATAAATGTGAAAGGGAAACAAAGCTTACAGAAGACCATCTATCTTCATGACCTTGTCAAAGGAAAAGGTTTCTTAGTCAGAAAACAAAAAGTATTAACTAGATATTTTTAAATATTTAAATGTAATTATATTGAAATTAAGAATTTCTGGTTACTAAAAGACACTACTCATAAAGTCTAAAGGCCACACACAGAGAAAAATATTCATGATATATTTATCTGACAAAGGAATAGTATTCATGACTTTTTTTTTAAATTGTACTTTAGGTTCTGGGGTACATGTGCAGATCATGCAGGATTGTTGCATAGGTATGTACATGGCAATATGGTTTGTTGCCTCCATCCTCCCGTCACCTATATCTGGCATTTCTCCCCATGTTATCCCTCCCCAACTTCCCCATCCCCCCGCTGTGACTACCCTGCCCCTCACAAAAGACCCCAGTGTGTGATGCTTGTTTCCCTGTGTCCATGTGTTCTCATTGTTCAACACCCACCTATGAATGAGAACATGTGGTGTTTGATTTTCTGTTCTTGTGTCAGTTTGCTGAGAATGATGGTTTCCAGATTCATCCATGTCCCTACAAAGGACACAAACTCATCCTTTTTTATGGCTGTATACTATTCCATGGTGTATTGTGCCATGTTTTCTTTGACCAGTCTATCATTGATGGGCATTTGGGTTGGTTCCAGGCCTTTGCTATTGTAAACATTGCCACAATGAACATACATGTGCATGTGTCTTTATAATAGAACAATTTATAATCCTTTGGGTATGTACCCAGTAATAGGATTGCTGGGTCAAATGGAATTTCTATTTCTAGGTCTTTGACATTTTTTAAAACTCTCTCAAACAAATAATCACTTGCAAGTTTGACAACCTAATGGAAAACTGGCCAAAAAGACTTGAGCCCTTCTCAAAAGAGAATGTTCAAAAGGCCAGTAAACTTATGAAGAGGTGTTTAACTTCATGAGTCATCAGGGAAAAGAAAATTAAAACACATATCATGGAAGATGATGTGTTTGTAATAGGAATGCATTACAAAGAATTAATATACCACATGTGTGTGGTATATAGTTATATGGTATATAGTTTAATAGAACTAAAACTATACTATGTTATAGTTCACAATTTTTGGAAGACTGAAAAAAGAAATAGGAAAAGGGAATCCATTTTGCTGACATGGATCACAAGAAAGACACAGTTCCCTAGGCAATCCAGTTTATGGACCAGTTATATGGTATATAGCTTAATAGAACTAAAATGATGCTATGTTATTGTTTACAATTTTTTAAAAGCTGAAAAAAGAAATAGGAAAAGAGAATTCATTTTGCTGACATGTATCACAAGGAAGACATGGTTCCCTAGGCAATCTAGTTTTCCAGTGTGGCTACAGAAGTCATTCTTGGAATCTCAGCCTAGAGTATGTTGCATGTTTCTTCAGCTCTTCAGGAATTACTAAATGAAAAAAACCTGGAAAATACCAAGTATAAGGAGGATATGGAGCAATGGGAATGCTCATAAACTATAAGCAGAAATGTAAATTGGTGTAACCACTTTAGAAAACTCTTCTCCTAAAGTTGATCATATATATACCTATGACCCAATATATTAGTCAAGGTTCTCCAGAGAAACAGATCCAGTGGATAAGTGTAGGTATAGATATTGATGGATATATTGAAATATATTTATTTTGCAGGATTGGCTCATGTGATTATGGAGGCTGAGAAGTCTCACAGTCTGCCATCTGCAAGCTGAAGGCCCAGGAAAGCCAATTGGATTGTTCCAGTTCAAATCCAAAGGCCTGATCCAGGGGAACTGATGGTGTAGGTCCCAGTCTGAGTTTGAAGGCCTGAGAACTAGGTCCAATGGTGTAAGTCTAGATCTGAATTCAAACGCTCAAGAACAAAGATTGATTTCTCAATCCTGTTTGGTAAGCCATTTCTCCTGTGCTCTTGGAGAGATCAGAACTTTGATTTGCTTTGACAAGTGTGTATGGCAATACCTGTTTGGCACTGCCCTTGCTAGAACACCACCAGTTGGTTCATCTGTGTTAAAACGGCAGGTGGAAGAACTAAAGCAGGTCAGAAAAAGGACCAAATTCATGAGAAAGATTCTTCTAAACTTGTGGAGATGCTTTAGTTACTGGCACCAAGTTAGAGAGTTGGTGTTACTATTACAAGGGAGAAGTAGGGCTTGTGAATGGGCACGACTGTGGATAAAAGTTAGTTGTATAAGATTCTGTGATTTCCCTTAGTTCTTTATTTGCCTCTCAGTCACAGCATTTCTTACATTTTAATTCCTACCATTCCCTGATCCTGGCTCCATCTTCTTCATTCTCCCATTATAGTAGTATACTGCTGGCCAGCACTACTATTCACTTTCTCTATGCCAGGGACTGTATTAAGCAATTTTTATGCACTACCTCATTTAATACTCACAACATCCCTGTATGACTTACATCACTGTCTACATTTCACTGATCAGGGGAACTGAGGCCTAGAGAGGTTAAGTAAATTTTCTAGAAGTCAGCCAGTCTGTTGTTGCCAGATCAGCAACATGGGGACTCTGCCTCTGACACTGAACTCTACTGTCTAGGGCATGACCTTCACCCTTCCATCTTGTAGCACCTGTCAGTTTGCCTCACCAGGAAAAGAAACAGCTGTTATATATGATTCCATATTCTATGAAGGAGACAGTAAAATAATCCCATGAGTGGCAATAGATCTAAAATCTATTTACTGATGGGGATTTCAGGTCCTTCTTTGGGAACTGTGAGAAAGAGAGTAAAGGATGCCTTCCTGTTGTTTCCTAATATCTGGTAGGAACATTCTAGACTGGACGGAGGAAGGAAGCAGTTATTGGAAATTGAGTTAGGAAGGAGTTGAGGACAAGCAGAAGAAACCTGGATTTTGTATTCTCCTTCCTACTTCATTGGTAGCTCCTATGATTTCAAGGTCTATTATAAGCTGTAATTTCCATCACACAGATACAATGTGTGTCTGACAGATGTGAGGTCAGAAAAGGCTCATTTCACTACTCAGGAAGTCTCAGTAAAACCACTGGGACAATTCTAAATCTCTGCCTCTGAGACATCCTTCTGGACTCCTTGATTATATTGCTACTACCTTCCATTAAATAAATTCCTCCAAGAAAGGGAGACCTGCTGAGTAAATAAAAGAGTTTGGCACTGGTCTCTTTCCACTGAGGGAGGGATATGGCAAATCTGTAACATATAGTGGGGTCAGATCTTGGTGAAAAGGAAAAACCAGGCAGTGCTGCTGGGGTTTCCTATGGCGTTCAAACTTGTGTAGGATATCTCTTGTGCCTTGACTCTAATCCTCTTGGCTCAATCTTTATTTCTGGGCATTGCTGCAGCAATGAATTCTCACAGATGTAACCTGATAGCACTATATATCTCTCATTTTTGGCCTGGGGATTCTTGGATGCAGTAGTGTGGGGTGGATTTGAGTACTTATTAACACTGCATGTGGCCCATTTTGACTAATGGTGGAAAAAATCTGGTCCCTTCTCTCCCTGAAGTAGAGGTTTTGAGGCACATTCTCTAAGACTCCTCAGAAGGCCTTGGCTATATTAAGTTCCAGTTGTCCACTACAGAGATCAGCATAGCATATTAACAGTGAATTGGCTTTCCTTCTCTGTTTCACTCTCGCTAGTCCTTCCATCCTGTTCTCTTGTCTTGCTTGCTCTAGAGACTATCTGCACAAAAGCACTTGTCTCAGATTCTGCTTTCTGGGAGGGGGTGGATGACGAAGGTAGGGAGGTTGTAGTGAGTTTCAGGCAAACACAGAACATAAGTAGAATGGAAAATTGGAAAGAAGGAAGTGTGAATAAGACAAAAAAGGTTGTCAACAGGCCAGATTACAATAACTTTAGTTTAAACATCTAATTGCCTTTTGTGTGAGATTCTAGAATTATGCAGTATCTCATTCTGTAAGATGGAATGAGTGTTCCACTAGGTATGACAAAACAACTGGTTTTGGTAAGGTAGAAACAAGAAGAAAGAACAGTGAAAAGAATGGATTGGTCGACATCAGGTTACTACACGGCTCTTTTGTTGTAAAGGTTGGAGCAGAAGGGACTTCCTCATTATCTTAGGTAGACTGGGTTCTTACTGATTGGTGAAATCCGTTTTAAGGAAAAACTGGTTAGTTTGGGGATTTCCCTGCCTCCTTAAAGTTTCAGTTCGATTATGTGACATTTATCATGAGGGGCTCCATTTTGGTTTGGTCTGGTCTGCCAGGGCCTAGGACAAGAGACTGGTCTAAAATAATGCCTTTCCACAAATTTTGTTTGTGTATACATATATATATATTTATCTTATCTTAAAATACATTCAAAAAAGGATTGCAGACAGTTAATGATAATGGAATTGATGTAGTAAACCACAAAGCATTAAACACAATAAAAAAGGCAAAACTGCTTTGTAAATGAAAAGACATTTACATCAAATCTCCATGTCCTGCTGCCTTAGTACAGCAACTGAATGAAACCTTTACATCTGAGTTCCTTAGTAGTTGGAGCAACAGTGAAAACACACACATCTCAGTATTCAGTTGTTAAGAGCAAACCGACTAATCAGAAGTAAACACTTTCTGGATTTTTAAGCAGTGGGAGTTTATTACATTTCAGGTTATTAAGGATGGAATAAATAATGGGAGATTTCCATTTCATGAAGGAGGTCCTGCGCCAATATTACCAGACGAAAAATGGTAAGAAGTTTCGTCTTCTGGTTATTTTTGTTATAATTGTAGATGGAGTTTTGTATCAAAAATTGGAAATTGTATCACCATGGTTTTTTTTATAGTTGGCACATTGGATAATGTAATGAACAACATATTTAATAGCAGAGCTATAGACATTACAGGGGCATTCTCTGGGGGCTGCGTCATCTGTTAGCTCTTCATCAGTGCCAGAGGTATAACATCTAAAATGCTAGAACTTTTGTAAAAAAGATGGCTCTGGGCTGCTTAAAATATATAAAAATGTGCTCAAATGCCAAATGATTGAACCACCAAAATTCATTATTTGAAAAACAAGTCAGAGATCAACACTTAACCAAACTATAGTAGAATTAGAATGTAATCCTAATAATGGTAAATTTTGAGCAAAACTGCAATCCTGATGAACATTGAGTAAAATAAGATAGTTCCATATTGCAATCCCAGATAATAAAATAAATTAACATGTTAAACAACATTTCTTAATTATGCAACTATGACAACTTTATTGCAAATGTCCCCACTCCCTTCTGTACTTATGACAGATGTACCTATTGGCATTTTTCCCTGTTGATCTTGAAAGCAGCCTCTGAACTTCTAAACATAGTACTCCAGATATTGAAAAGAATAAGATACTGCAGGTGAGTTGAATATTATTGGTTATTATTTGTATGTTTTAACCCTCTAGATGAGAAAATGTGACAGGCAAAAAATAATTTCTTCTCATTCATATGAAACAGACCACAGATCTCACAGTGTCTTCAGGGTGCTCCTGGGATACAGGATAAAATTTGTTCACTGTCTTCAATACAGAGAACAAATAAGTGTGAAAATGGAATGAGATTTACAACCTATCTAACAATCACAATGCGGTAAGTTTTTTCATCTGACTTAAAAAAGTGCTGATATATGGGAATATGAGACAAATCTGAGGTGGATAAATTTCTTTACCTAAATGAATAACTTTGCAGGAAAGATAAGGCCTGCAATAGATATAAATGTCCATTAGGTATTATAATAGCTATTATTTCTTTAATAAATAGAAGGCAGCAGCATGATAAAACATACCTTCCACTTGGAAGAACATTTCCAAAGATCCCCCACCCCACTGGCTCACAACTCTCTCCACCATCTCAGCTACAGGTCAGTGTGGAACAGGTACTTAGAATTACTGCGAATATGATTGGCAAAGGGAAAACCACATCTTCAATTGTAACAAAAATAACCAGAAGATGAAACTCTTCCTAGATCATCTCACATTTTTCATCCGATAATATTGGCCAGGACCTTCTCCATGAAACACAAATCTCATATGTTATTCATTTCCCATCTTAATTCCTGAAAGGTCATGAGCTGCTACTGCTTGAAGAAGCAGCTCTGATTGTTGTCATGGGTGAGATGTACAAAGGAAAATATATATTCTACTATAGATTTTAAATGGAATCCTCTCCATCTTTATTATGAGTAGATTAAGAAAATGTTTAGAAAGTGACTAATAGTAATAGCAGAGAACATTAGTTTAAAATAAATGTATGAAACTTCTTTGGAATAAGTAATGCTAAAACCAAATATTGATTTATTAAATGTCTAGTGCTACCTATCCTTTATGTTTTATAGATATTACATAATCATACATAGCTAGAAAAATATAACAAAAGTAAACTCAACTGCGTTTTAGGTCAATAGAGGTGAAATAAAGAGAAATATTAGGTTGGTGTAAAAGTAATTGCAGTTTTTGCCATTACTTTCAGTGGCAAAAACCTCAGTTGCTTTTGCACCAACCTAATAACATAATCGTGTAGTTAAAGAATTACTAACTTAGATCACTATATACAGAGGTCTTTTGTCATAAATAGTATATGAAAGTATTATTGTTTCAATAGCCCACATCTGTTAGTCTAGTAATAGTATATTTAATGCCTAAATTTCTTTCTGGTCATGGATAATTTTCAGGGAGATTAATTCCAGGTTACTGTTGTGTTGATTTCTTTAAAAAAGGAAGTAAATGTCACAAGCATAAAGAGAATCTCAGTTACTTCATGCGTGACAATGAAAGACATTCATTTATTTAGAGAAGTGTAATTCAGTGTGAATTATTTAGCACTTATAGTCATAAGCGGTTAGCAGTAGAAGGAACCTCAGGGATTTCCTAGTTCAAAGGTTTTCAAAGGACAATCTTTGGATTCCTGGAGCTCCTCAGTTGGGCCAGGGTCTTGCCCACTCACCTCCTTACTTGGTTAGACCAGCTATATATACATATATATAGCTATATAATATATATATATATAATATATATAATATTGGTTATATTAACTTTGCATATTTTTTCTTTTAGAACAGTTTGTCATTTAGTTTATAAAATATCGTCACACAGAACAGGATACATAAAATTTAAAATATATATATATAGCTAATATATATATAATATATATAATATATATATTATATATAATATATATATTATATATAAAATATATATATTATATATAATATATATTTATATAAATTCTGGGATATATGTGCAGAATGTACAGGTTTCTTACATAGTTATCCATGTGCCATGGTGATTTGCTGCACCTATCAACCCATCATCTGGGTTTGAAGCCATACATGCGTTAGGTATTTGTCCTAATGCTCTTCCTCCCCTTGCCTCCCACCCCGACAGGCCCTAGTGTGTGTTGTGCCCCTACCTGTGTCCATGTGTTCTCATCGTTCAACTCCCACTTATGAGTGAGAACATGCTAAACCAGTTATATTTTTAACTGCTTTATGTAATGGTATGACTTATAAGGTAATTTGAAAGAAAAAACAATTCTGCTACTAAAAAATAGGCAAATAGTCCCTTTATCCCCCTCATTTTACCTATAATAATTATAGGATTCCTAAGAAATAAAAAGATTTCACCATGAAGATGCTGTTTTGGTAGTAGAGTCAGGTGCTAATGAAGTGTGACGTTTTTATCTGCACATGATTTAAGAAAACAGCTTCTGTTCAAGTGTGTTTATAGGTTTTTAAGTTTTAAAGCTCCATTAAAGCAAAAGAAATGGGTGAAAATTCAAAGTTTATGTCAAGTTTTTATGTATGAATATTAGTTGTTTCAGAAGTCAGAAATACTGGGCTATTTTTTTTTTAGTGCATTTTAGGTTTTGGGGTACATGTGAAGAACATGCAAGATTGTTGCATAGGTACACCCATGGCAGTGTGATTTGCCGCCGTCTTCCAATACTGGGCTATTTTGATCAATCTGATTAGACCAGCAAGTTTGAGAAAAAAAAATGAATGAGGAATAAAAGGAAAAAAGGAACAGGGAGAGAGGAAGGAAGAAAAAATAAAGGAAGGAAGCAATCAAGAGAGAGAGAAATTAAGAAGGAAAAGATTTTAAAAAGAACTTTTTTTTTTTTTTTGCAATATAGCTACATTTGAGGCTGATAGCTCCAAATCTATTTTTATCTTAGGTAATTAAAATATTAAGTTTCCTTTTACCTAATACCATGCAGAAAATGAACATTTGATAACTACTTTTAAATGGGTTGTGATTCTTCTACTTTTAAATTTTATGTATCCTGTTCTATGTGTGTGATGATATTTTATAAACTAAATGACAAACTGTTCTAAAAGAAAAAGTATGCAAAGTTAATATAACCAATATAATTTTTAAAATGTTCCACATTGGACAGTCTCAACAGAGAGAATATATCTCAAGCAAAAGTAAAAACGTAACTTAAAATTAAGAATTTCAAGATATTTATGCATTAAGATTTCCAGTCTTTATGAAAAGGTGAGAGATGCTAAAAACTGCTCTACAAATCAAATAGCCTAATGTGTTCATATTATAATTCCTTTTATATTGCATTGATATTATAGAGTTTCTTTACTTGTCTCTCCACCACGACTGTAAGTTCCTTAAGGTAAGTGTATCTTACTCCTTAGTCATTTGTTTTCTATACCTCATAACTATCATACTCATGTTGTGTATGTGTTATTAATATTTATTTGGTGAATGAATGCATGAATGAATAAACGAGTGACTCTGCACAATGAGATTCTGGTTTACTTGTACTTTATGGTATCTCTTTAAAAGTCTGTGTTGTTTAGACTTTTCTCACTTCAAAGTAACTTGGTAACCAAAATAGAATTATATGTGCAGATTTCTTCCCTATTCTCTACACTACTTTAGTGACTTAAAGACACTAGTGGAAATGAAATTCACACTTTTCTAAATCATTTATAATAGCACAGAGGTATAGAATTCTAGTCCAAACAAGTATAGATGGGTAACATGCTTAAGCAGTTTTACTTTCAATTATAAAACAAAATACATAGATATAAGCACACAGGTACATAGACACATATATGAGAATAAGTCTGGTACTTCCTCTTTTTAAGTTCACAACAGATTATTTACTTGTACAAATAATAGATATTATTTAATGAGCATATACTATATGCCACATTCTATGTAAGCATTGACATATATTACTTGATCTTTACAACATTTTTATGAAATAGGATCCACTATTATTCCCACTTATAGTTGAGGAAATCAAAGTTTAGAGAGGTTAAGTAGTCATATATTGCTTTTACATTGAAAGGCTCGCTTTCAAACCCAGGTGTATCTAATCTTGCACAGTTTCGCACATCACCTAAGCATATATCAGAGTCTGGTCCAGAGCAGCAAAGAAGGAAGGTCTTAAAATGTCTGAAGGTGTTTGGAAATGCCTCACTTCAAAACAGATTTACAAATCCAACAATTTTTTGCTTTCTCCTGTTTGACTTCAGTGATTTTCTAACATCAGAGAAAAAAAAATATTCATGTGCATTTAAAAAATCTCCAGTTGGCATTTCAACCAAAGCCAGGATAAACTGGTGGTCCTCTTCCCACACATGCACGCTTTAGATAGCAGCCCTCTGGGTTTTTTTTTTTTTTTTTTTTTTTTTTGGTAGATAGCTCAGTTTAGTTTCATTTGAAACAGAGTCATCTCTTTTGTTAATTTACAAATTTAAAAGATCAGTGAAGTGTGAGAGTGAAATGGATATAAAAATACAAGAACATATGCAGAGGGTGCTGAGAAGAGGCAGACAATACAGTGTTTCTCAGCATGAGGGCTGCTCTGCTGCATTACTACTTGGGACATCTGTGCCTGCACCAAGCTGTCTCAGAGACAGGCTTCCAGCCAAACCATCATGCAGACTTTGTCCTCCACACAGTCATGGCAATTTTGCTACTCAGAAGCACCTGCCTGCAAATACAATTTGCTCACTGATGCTGCAAGGAGCATGAGAATTATGCACTGTCTCCATCTAATAACACCTTTGCAGTCTCTCTACAGCAGGGGCTCTGCACAGATCTTTTAATCTTCTCACGCTCTGCAGGAAGTAAGAACTATGATTTCTCTTCCCCTCACAAATTAAATTGTATTACCAGGTAGCAATGGGGCAGTGCCAGCTGAATGAAATTGATAGCAAATGCAGACAGAAGAATTTCAATGTCCTCAGCTGACTTCAAGGGAGAGAGATTTTATTTCAAAAGCAATAAGTCAATGAGTCATGATCCCCAGTGCTGTGCAAGCAGTCTGGTCTTGCTCACTAAATCTACAGCTAGGGATGGTGTGGAACAGACATCACCTGCTATCAGCCAACTTAACTGAGGTGGCTCTATCAGCAATCAAGCCTCATCACCCTTGTCCTTTTGCAAACCTGTACAGTTGCTGTCCTCCTGTTTTTTGGATTGAACTTATGCTTCAATAAATAGCTGCCTTAAAACAGGGTGTTGCCTTCACTTATTTAAATATTCCTAAGCATAGCCAGTAGGCATGGCTTTTAGATTACTAAATTCAAGCTCATCAGGAAGGTACATAGTGATATATCCATGAGGCATATTGTGAGAAATGTTTTCTAATTGTAGGAATCCTGCTGCTTATTCCTGACAAGAAGATGTTATAAAAGGTTGAATAATATCTTTGGAATTCATAAATTATGAATGCAGTCTTCTGCCTGCCATGGATGCCCTGGTATGTACGTTGCTTATAGCCTTTCAAATGCCATAGCTAATGTATGCATTACCAGTGTCATCACCACTATTTCAATTTATAAAGGATACTAAGATAACTTTCCCCAAAATACATTCCTTGGAACACTAATACTGCATAATAGGGTTCGATGGAAACATCAGATCAAGAAATGTTCCTGTGAATTGGTAGGAGTAAGATAAGCTCTATCTTTTGCATTTTTCAAAATTATTTAATTAGAAACTCACTTTTCTCAAAATATCTTGAGGGATAAAAACCCATTAGAATCGCCATCTGAGGAAAGAATGTGAAAACAAAGTGCAGCATAATTGTTACTATCCAAATATTCATGACGGGGCATAGGGATAGGAGCAGCACAACCTGTTCCGTATTTGAGTATTACCTTTTCTCCTCAGATTAAGACCCAGTATATTAATTTCCATCAAGTTTTCTTTATATCGTAATAGATATATAGTAAAAATAGCAAAGTCTATGTCTGTATTGTTCACTCTTGGATTCCCAGAACAAGGCACGTGCTAGGTGCTTAGTAGGTAAATGCTTGTTGGATAAATGAATGAATAAATAGATGAAAGAATGGCTGAGTCTGCACATGGCTCTTGATGAATATGGTTACTTAAGATATTGCACTCTTTTCAAAAGCAAGTGGGCAGTATTAGAACAGATGTTTCTAAGCCACCACATTGGCACTGCTCTCTTCTCTACAACTTGTAAATAATAAAATCACATGCACATTTCAAAATGTCAGCCTCTGTTGCTGGCTGTGTTGTTGCCTTGGCAACACAGGCTATGACATTATAAGCTATGGTCTCTGCCATGCAGCTATTTGAGAGTTACCTTGCAGAGTTCCACAATGAGATATTGTTATTATGGATCTCTAACCACCCCTGGTCTGAACATTGATGTGTGTGTGCCTGTGAGAAGGAAGCTCACCTTATGTTAATTTTCTTTATTATTTGGGCCTAGTATTCCAGTTGCTAAATAATTATTTTATTCTCCTTCATTTGCTTCAGTTATGCTTATAGTGGATAGCATACTGTTTATGAAAATATACTCAAGTGCTGATGATCTAGCTTTGAGATTTTACAGACCGGAAGAGCTTATTAAACAGAGGAACAGGTCTATGCTTGTCCACTTTTATTATTGCTGAGTAAAGGCAAAAAATAAAAATAGTTACCCAGTATCCTAGTTTTATTAAAGAGTAGGCATTTTGTTTCCCCCAAAATAAGAAGCAGCAATAAATAAGGGCAGCCTTGAATTTGAAGAGCCCTATAAAATATCAATCACATTGTCTTTATTCAATTTATTAGACTGTTGAAAATTTTCCCCTGGACAGAACTTATTCTGCAAACGCCAACGTGAAAACCTCTTTTAACAAGGATAGTAGGAGAATAAAGGTGACTATGAAATGTAAGAAGCATTATTCTGGATGAAGCCAATGTTCTGTACATCCTAGAATTCTGTCCTGTTTGTGGCAACAGGGAACACAGAACAAGGCTCAGCTCACTATGTCAATCCCCAGAGTGCATGTGTTCAAGCTCAGGCATTAACTTTCTCCACTGTCCTCCAGCAGTCAGCCTACCTCTAAACTCTCTCTCTTGCTTATTCCTGACAAGAATAATATACAAGGAATATACAAGGAGTAAGGAGTATACAGCCTCACTTCTCTCTTGAGAAAACTGAGGCCACACATCTCGTGATTCCATATGTACCCGTTATCTAAATCTCTACTTATTCCCTCCAAGCTTGGACCTTCTATTGTATCCACTTGTTTGAATTTTCTGACTTTTGGCTGATACCTGTGTTTTAGCCTTCACTTTGCTCCACAGTAAATTACTAAATTTGGTTTGTTTTGGTCCATATTAGCTGTTCATGTAATTACTATGACCCTGAAAGAAGATGTTAACTCCATCACATTTCTCACTGTGGTTCTCAGGCAGGGTCTCCCTGTGGAAAATTCACCCAATTGTGTGCCCTCTCTGTTCCAGCTTCTCAGCTTACCAGCGATGGGATAAATTGGGTTAGACAAGTTCTTGTGGACCTGGATTTTATGTGGGAGGGGTCAGAGATGTGCTGTGTTTTCCAATCTAGCCATTTCCAGGGAGGCTTGAATGAAGCATAAGCCGTGATCTCCACCAGGCTGCCTGTTCTTTGTGTATATACAGCACTGCCCAGAATCTTGGGGAGTCAGAGTTAAGTGTCAGGATAAGGATATAAACCCCATTCCCAACCCTAACAATTTCCATTCCCCAACTCTATTACTTTACGTATCTACCCACTGCAATCTGTCTTTACCACCTACAGGATACCCCAACCACTCTGGCAAAATTCATCAGTGTCTTCTTTTTTTTTTCTTTTTTTGAGACTGAGTATTGCTCTTGTTACCCAGGCTGGAGTGCAATGGCGCGATCTCGGTTCACCGCAACCTCCACCTCCTGGGTTCAAGCAATTCTCCTGCCTTAGCCTCCTGAGTCGCTGGGACTACAGGCATGCGCCACCATGCCCAGCTAATTTTTGTATTTTTAGTAGAGACGGGGTTTCACCATGTTGACCAGGATGGTCTCGATCTCTTGACCTCGTGATCCACCTCGGCGTCCCAAAGTGCTGGGATTATAGGCGTGAGCCACCGCGCCTGGCCTCATCAGTGTCTTCCTAATTGTCAAATCCAATAACATGTGTAATACTGTAATATTTTTACAACTTCAAAACCTTTAATTTTTGAAAAGTAAAATGTAACTTTTATTCATCTTTAAAGATTCTTTAGCTCTTATTTTATTCTTCATGGTTCTGATACTCCAATCATTTTCTCTTTGAAATTTTACACTGTTTTCTTCCATATATAACACTCTTTCTAGAGTGTACTATAGCTTCCTTCTCTAACCAGTTCTTCCCAGTTTCCTTTGCTTAAATGTTAATATTCTTTTGAGTTCTGATCTTGACCCTCTTCTATTTCTGTTACTTATCTCTCATTATTTCTGTCCCTAGGTTGACTTCCAAATCTACATAACCAGCTTAGGTCTGTTCCTTGGCTCTCAGTTCTGTGTGTCTTTCTGCCTATGAGAACTCTTCACCCAGATAAATAAATCCCAACTTGCATATTCAAAATTAAATCACTTATCACATGACAGCATGAGTAACATGCTGACCCACAACCTGATGAAAACTGGTGAAAAACATTTTAAAAAAGAAAACACCAAAAGCCTCTAGAAATAATCATAAGAGCAAAACAGCAAATGAAAACAAATATTCAATAAAATCTATGAAATTTCAGCAAGAAAAGTTAGTCTGTGATATTTGCACCAAAACGGCTCTGTTCTTCCCCATCTCCCTGGTTTTTTGTTTTGTTTTGCCTGTTTTTTTTTTTTTTTGTTTTTGTTTTTTTTTCCTCCTGAGAAGAATAAGGCTTTGGCATAGCTTGTCCTGTGTCTGGCTGCCTGATGCTGAGTCTAGTCCTGGTGAATGTGGTTGAAAAGTGAGGCTTTCTTCTTCTGCTCAATGCCTACTCAAGATTGGAGGGTCTACCTCAGGTGTGGCATGCTGAGAATCCTGGGGCATTAGTGCCGTTTCCCCTGACTTGTGTTGTGGTACCTTTGTGCCAGAGGGGCAATCCAAGAAAACATTAGCCTATTGAGTGCTCTCCTAAAATGGGGTTTTACTCAGAGAGAAAATTGCTATTGTCCCTACTCACAGCTTCAGAGCTATTGTTAAGAAATATTTTTCTGGGAGGAGAAGCAGGCAGTAGAATAGTGACTTCATCTGCAACAGAGCAGTAGAGAAATTTAAACCTAAGGAAACTCTCAAGATTAATGTAGATTGTGCTGAAAGGCAATTAGAATGAGATCTGTGAATCTAATGAAGATAGAGCCTAGACTGCAGGCCAGCTAGTTTGCAGGAAATAAGGGAATAGGACAGCTGAGAGGAGCTCTCCTGGGGTCAGAATAAACATCAAACACTGACATTAGAAGCCATTCCTTCAAAGGAATTACATTTAATTAGGTTGGTTTGTAAAGAAATGTATGCCCAGGGTATTGTAAACAATAAAGCAATTGCCAGCAGTGGAGCAAGGGAAAGAATTAGAAGAGAGGCCCACAAAATACCACTGTTAGCCCAGGTTGTCTCAAAGCTGTGTCTAGTTGAGGAGCAACATGAGAGGCTTAACACTGTGTGTTGAGGGGTGTGAGTGTACTTTATTAAAATAATCCAACCAGTCACTAAATAAATAACTGAACAATGAACAATGACAAACTATGGAAGAGAAGAATCAGTAGCTAGAACTCCTACAATATATTATCCAGAATGTCCAATATCTAGCAAAAAATATGAAGCTATGAAGAATTTTGAAAATATGATCTATACTCTGCCTCAAAAAGAATCAGGCAACAGAAACTGCTTATGAGAGTGAGATGTCAGATGAATCAGAAAGATTTCAAAGTAGACATTATAAATATATTCATAGACCTAATAGAAAGCATGATTGAAGAAGTAAATGAATATACAATAACAATGTTGCATCAAATAAATAATACCAATAAAAAGAAATCATATCTATCTATATACTAATATTAATAGTTGTGTCTGTGTACAAACACATACATACACATGAGCCAAATGAAAACTCTGGAATTGAAAAATGCAATAGCAGAAAAAAAAAATGAAGACCCAATAGTAGATTTGAGCTGTCAGAAGAAAGAACTTGAAGGTAAATTGATAGAGATTATACAAGCCAAAGAACAGAGAGGGGAAAGAAAAACAGCTTCAGAGAAAGATGGGACACAATTAAGCACACCATATATATGTAATGGGAGTTCCAAAAAAAGAGAAAAACAAAAAGAAAAAAAAAATCAAAGAAACAATTGCTGAAAAACCCCAAAATTTTTTGAAAAACAATTACCTATACGTAGAAGAAACGCAACAAACTCTAAGTAGAATAAATACAAAGAAACCAGCAAACAGACACAAATCATAGTAAAAATACTGAAAATCAA